GGTGGAATCTAAGTGATCAGCAGGACGCGCAGTGAGCCCAGTGTGCTCCTACGCTGCCATCTTCGAAAAATATTTTCTTTTTCTATAAAATGAAGATCATAATTCTTCCCTTGACAAATTCTTATAAATGTACACTACAATTTATTTGCAGTACTTGCTAAGTTCTCTGTAGATGGTCTATGATGGTAACTATTATTATTGTTATTTAAAGTGCTTGCTTAAGATATTGAAGCCTCTAATATATTAATGTTACTAAATCACTAACCATTGGCAATCACCTGATACTATTTTATACCACTAAATACAAGTGAAAAACAGATAGAAATTGAGGGCATTTCCCATACTAACCTCCTACAAAGTCTATTTTGCTTTCTTTCTAGGGAGCTCAGGGTTATCCTTGAATTGGACCTTGAAGAATGATAGAACCAGTAGTAGGCAGTAGGACGACTAGCCATGTTTGGGAAAGAGACCTAATGGGAGATTTCAGTGGATGGCTTTGAACAACAGGAAAGTAACACTTCTGGGAGTTACTGTAGACTGAGTCATTGAACAAAGGGGTGATCTAATCATGGGTGCACTTGAATAGATCACTCAAGTGGCTTTTCTTTTTTTTTTTTTTTTAATTTTTTTTCAACGTTTTTTATTTATTTTTGGGACAGAGAGAGACAGAGCATGAACGGGGGAGGGGCAGAGAGAGAGGGAGACACAGAATCGGAAACAGGCTCCAGGCTCCAAGCCATCAGCCCAGAGCCCGACGCGGGGCTCGAACTCACGGACCGCGAGATCGTGACCTGGCTGAAGTCGGACGCTTAACCGACTGCGCCACCCAGGCGCCCCTCAAGTGGCTTTTCTAGGAGGTTGTGAAGGGGAGAGAACAGTTGGCCATCTAGGATGGAATTTGTGAGGTTTAAAGGGCCTTAATTAGGGCAGTAACAAAAGCATGAAAAACCATAAGGAGAATTTTATGGATCAGACCAGGATTGGGCAACTGCTTGGATATTTTGGGAATGAAAGATAGGTAAAGAAAATTCCAAGTCTTTGAGACTGACTGTCAAAAAGAATGGAAATTTAGCTTCTGATCTTAGCTTGTGAGTATATAGGAGAGGAAAGGAAATGTTGACCATAATGTTCAAGGAGCCTGAGGAATGTTCAAGGAACTGCCTGAGGACAGGCAGTTAGAAATGTGCAACTGGAACCAGGGGAGGGCATGGTGTTTGATGCCATTTGAGAAACTTCCATACAGCAGTTATACTGCATAAATAAAGCTGAGGGTACTCAATGATGGAGCTTATTGAGTGAAAAAGGAAAAATATCTGAGCATTGGTCTTTGGTGAATGGTTTTATTTAAGGGTCAAGCATGTGAGTGTGAAGAAATGATAAAGAGAAGTAATGGTCAATGTGATAGAAGCAAAAGTGTCAAGGAGATCATTAGAGGAGGACACTGGTTTTAATCTCTAAGGCATCACTGGAAATCTTGAAGAAATCAGGTTCAGTGGAGTGGGAGGGGTCACTCTGCAAGGAGCTTGACCTATAAGACTTGTTAATATGAAGATTCCTGAGTTGCTGCAGACTCTGTAAACCAGAATATCTGAGACTGAAACCTGGAGAATATGAATTTTTGACAACATCCCCAAATGGTTTTTATGTACCAAAAAATACTGTTTTTGAGAGTCATTTGAACAGAGAAAAATGTCTTAGTGCCTAGCACATCCTTAAGTAGACATTGGTTATATACAATGCCTTCAAAAGCCAAATGTCACTAGGCTCTGTTTCACCATTATAAAATATGTGGAAAATGGTACTTTTAAAGCCTTCACCTAAATGTCAGTTAAATTTGGGCGGAGGGGAAGATCCACTTTAACATAATTTACGCAAGCTATACAAATATCTTCTGAAGGTTGAATTGAGAATTATATGGTTGAGAATTAGGAAAATTGAGAGTGCCTGGCTCATTATAAGCAATCACATATTTCTATTGTCATAATTTAAAAGCAGTGTTGAAAAAAATAAAACCAATGTTTTGTTTACAATTGCAAAGCACCAAAGCAAAACTCAACAAAGTCTTCTCATCCAGTGAGTTTGAGATTTAAGAAGGCTGTCATTGATTTAGAGCACAGTACACATGTAAGATAC